GAGTAAGAGGGACAGAAAGGAAGTTCAGACTCCATTCCTGATCAGCTGTAGGCTTCTCTATCAAAAGAGCCCATGGGCATATTTGATATAGATAAGGCAAAGAAAAAGGACTTGTATCAGTTTGTTGCATGCATATGTACATAGCATAGAAAATATTTTTAAGTGTTTTTCTGGCACTGCGTAACTGAACAGGAATTCAACCCATGACCAGTGACAAATGCATACGCTTCCTATTACTAATACTGCATTTCTTCCCATTCTGTGACAAAGCTTTAAGAACAATCTTGATAAAAATCTACTTTATAGAATAAGCAAAGCAAATTCTTCGTTTTGTTGCAGATCGAAGCAAGCTCAACTCCACCATCACTGAAGGAAAGGGAAAAATAAACTTTCCCTACAAGGAAAGTAAAATTAAACCAACAGGACCCTAAAATACAAGAGAAGGCAAAGAATGCTGCCTGCTTATTTTTACTCAAATTTTTGCTAAAGAGAAACTATGTAAAGGATAGGGTGAAAGAGGCGTAGTTCACTGATCTCCACACAGTTCTATGTGTAGCTTTCCTTAAACCTAGGGTGAGTTTATTTATAATAATATTAACCAATGTGCTGCAATTGTACATTTTGGGATTTCTAATATGCATTAGGAATGCTGCATGAGACCTAAATATGAACTCAAGCAGAAGTGAGGTGTTATGCAGACCTCAAGTCAGACCCGAGACAGATAGCGGGACTTCTATTATAAGACCATATCTGAGGCTGGGTAAAAAATAGGGGTGTGCGAAGCGAGCCCTATTTGATTTGGATATGGCCCGAATCAGAGACAGTGATTCGATTAGTTGATTCGGATCACTGTCCCCGATTTGATTAGTTTGAATCCAAATCTGAAGATTCGATGCCGATTCAGAGAATCAGTGATTCGGACATAGACACAGGCTTTATAAACTTTTTCTACATACCTTGAGGTAGCAGGCGCATCTCGTGATCGCTGCAATGCTGGGGCACAGGAGTGTGGGGGGCCCTCCATGTGCTTGGTGGCAAATCCAGAAGTGGACTGGAAATACTTCTGGTCCACTTCCAGGTCTGCTGGGGAGCCCTCCACATGCTGCCACCCCCAGCAATTGGTTGCAGGGGGACCCTGGATGCCCCCCCAGACCCAGGAGGCACCAGTCGCCGAGCCGGGGGGAAGGGGTTGCGCGCGTGGGGCCTCCCTGCGTGCTCCCCGGCAGACCCGGAGGACTTCCAGGTCTGCTGCTAAGCGTGCTGGGGAGCCACCTGCGCTTCTGTGGGACACTTCATGCGCCCCAGCATCACAGCACTCATGAGTCCCTGCTACCTAGAGGTATGTAGAAAAAACATTTAAAGCTGTGTCTGTCCAAATCTCCGAATCGATTCAGACAGTTCCGATTCGATTCGGAGAGATTAAAGAGTCCTCTGCTTCGATTCAGAGATTCAGCCACTGAAATCGGGCTGAATGTCCACCGAATTGAATCAGGGACTGAAGCTTCGCTCAGCCCTGGTAAACAACATAAGCTTACAAAAATCACTGATTAGAAAATAAACAAAGCTCAGAATGCCACCAAATTGCATCTTGGTATCTGTCAACTATCTCTGTGCTTCTCTTTGTGAAATTGTGTCATTTCTACACTGTGTAGGTAATGTCCTCCTCTCCACAAGACTTGGGTCCCTCCATGTGGGAGCTACAGAGAAAGGTACTAGACCACATGAATATACATCTTGGAGCAGCCCTTTCCTGAGAAACACCCATTCTGCACATGAAACCAATGAGAATAGTACCAAGAACCTGTGAAAACCTTCAGCAGAGGGAACCACCTAAGTGACACCCTCATGTCACTCCTCTCAGATTCCTTCCCCAGGTGGCAGGAACCGAAGAGAAAGGGCTTTTTGCAATACAGTTTTTCCTCTGAGAAGCTTCAATGGACATGAATTAGGAGGGGGCCTCATAATTCTCTGAATTTTGTGTTCATTAAAACCTATTAGAACCTTGTCGTTTTCCAACACTGCTCCAGGTACGATTCTGCAGTCATGGAAATTGCAGCAATGCAATATGTAGGCAACCGGCACGGACATTCAATTCATACAAGACATGAGAGAAAAGAGCTACAGTAATCTGAGTGTCTTAATTCCTACAGCAAGTTAGGGAGCTACTGGGAAAAGCTTCCTATTTTAAAGGTATGTGAAAACTTCAATTATAAGCACATTCTTTCACATTTCATGAAGTGTAAGCAAACAGATAGTTGCACCTAAAGTTAAATGTACTATTGGAAGATTAGATCAGTGTAAACAAGAAATAAAAACTCTTAAAACCCAAGGTCACTGCTGATTAAAATAAGCTGGCTGTTGTTGTCTAGAGAGTAATATTCTGTCCTATATTTATTTCAGTGATTATTAAAAGAATACACTTTAGTGAATGGTAGTCTTACTAAACTCCACTCCTCTCATTAGCTGAAATTACTACCAGTAGAGCCTCTAGTTAGTGCAAAACTGAAAAGCATAATACCTATAGTTTAAATAATTTTGGTGTAGTGCTACAGCTGATCTAAAAGAATATATATCTAAGCACAGGGTAGGCAACTGCCTCCAGCTGCAGGCTGGGATGACCCACCACGGGTCAGAGATGGGGCTGGGTAGGCTCTAGGACCTGTCTGCTGCCAATGCTCATCCCCATGAAGGCATGGGGAAAGTGCCTGCTACTGGTGGCCCCCACCAGTGAATACTGCTGCAGACCCGCATCCCTGCACCAGATCCAATGGTTCAGTAGGCTGTAGGCTGCTGACCCCTAACCTAATTGGTACATTTTTTTCCCTTTTTTAGCAGCATCCTATGCCCTTGTCTCTTTTTCTTTTATATACAATATTTTCTCTTACAGTCCTTCCCCAGCATCTAAGCAAGTTTTTGCCTACAAAAGCTCATACCTCTCTAAACCAGCTGATCTAAGGTGCCAACCTGCCTTCTGCCCATCTTCAGGCTAGCACAGCAAGCCACCTGTCTGTCTGTCATGTCCTCATTTCACAGGGTAAAAAAAATAAACATAATATTTCAACATTTTAATTTCTTGATCATTAAAGACTGCTGCTAATTAGTAAGACTAACATTTCATCTTTTCTAAAGCTAAATGCCTCCCTTGGAGACCAACAGAAGACACCGATTTAGAATGAGTAGTAGCTAGCAGTCATCCTTAGTGATTTTACAAATATATTAAAAATAAAATATTTCACTTATGTCATAATATGACTTGGGAATTAAATCATTCAGAGGGTTGTTTTTTTTTGCTGTTCTTCAGTTTGTATGTAGTTCATAAACTATCACATAATGTTGAATTTACCACATATCCAGTTAAGTAATATAAAGTGTGGAGGTAACGGGAAGTAAGGAAGGGAATATATGACATTTCAGTAGTAGAAATGAAAAATAAAATAATATAAAATTTAAAAAAAATTAAAAGTAACTATAATGAATACATCCTATTTTTGTTTTGTTTGGTGGTTTGTTTTCAAACTCAAATATTCACCTAATTATATTGTAGATGAATTCTGAAATTTCAGTTAAAATATTTTTTAAATAAAAACATTATTTCTCTAGAATGTTTTGCCCAAATTGACAAAAATTCTTTACTTAGTTTTGCAAAAAGTGTTGTAAAAAGTATTTTCCCTGCATTCACAAAGAACCATTTGAAAGAAAAGTTTCTCACCAATTCTAATAAAGTCTGACCTCATGGACCTCAGCTATACTAGAAAAACTAGTTGCTGTATAACAGCAACTATCAACAATGGCACAGATGTCTGGTGCCAGCAACAGCTTGTTTAGACAAAGGCTCAAGAACAAGAACACTTATTACTGTCAGAAGAACCTGCTCTGAACAGTTTTTCATGAAATGATGGCAGAAATGCCTGGCCCACATCTAAACCAGTATACGTCTGCTCGTTGTTACTTTACCATGCAAGTTTTCTCGTGTCACTACACCCTCTAAAGCAACGCAGTAGAATATTTCATGATAGCATGCTTCCTTGTGATCGCTTCAGGCTTACCCAACATGGCAAATTCTAGATGAATATTTGAGTTTGAAAACAAACCACCAAACCAAACAAAAATGAGTATGGAAAAGCTTCAGCTGAGAGAAGTAGCATGGGTGGTGGTCTGAAAGGCATAAGTCTAATTTGCATCAACTGAGAGTACAGTTTAACTTATTAGAAAAATCTGTTTCTGTCAGACATGGTTACCTGCTACATACCATGTTTTCCTGCATACAGTACTCCTCTATATACTATGTGCACCTTGTTTTTCGAAGGCAGTTTGAAGAAAAATATCTGAACAACAGATAGAGTAGCAGCAGCTAGGGAGCTGAGGCTGCTGCCAGTCCTGCATAACAGGCCATGGGGTCCAACTGTGAAGCAACATGACAAGGCCATGTCATCCAGCTGTGGAGATCCCCATTTCTTACATATAATGTGCACCCCAAATGCCACTAGCTGGTTCTAGGGAGAAAGGTGCAGGTTAATTATTTTTATTTCTCTCTCTCATGTTAATGCCATCGTATTGTTTCTATATATCTAGATTGCGTGTGCGTGCACAGGCGTGTCACACACAAAATCTAGATATGCTTTTTTCTACTCATTACAGTAGTATATTCCTATTTATAATCTGTTATGTTACTTTTTTAAGGCACTACAAATTTGAAAGATCCACCTCTGTGTCATGTAATAATACCTTTAATTTCAATAACGGTAGCAAAAAAGCACGTCTACCTCATCAGGTAGTCCCTTCCAATCTACTGAGGTTCATCGGAGTCTAATCAATTCCTGATGGTCAGAACAGTATAAATTAGACCAAGCAGTAGTCATGAATGTAGTAAATGTAATAAATAGCTACTATGTAATACACAGCTGTTTTTTTAAACATGAAAGCTCTATACTTTTTGACTTAAAAAAAAATCCAGTGAAAACCTGGAAATGCCACTTTCTTGAATAATGGTTTATAGAAAACATACTGTGATTTTATAATACAGAATCTTCATTAAAAATGATGAAATGCATTTATCCAGATCTTACAAGTATTACAATTAAGTATTTCAGATAAAATACATTTTACCACTGTCATCTGTTTGAAGTAACCTCTCACGTACAATAAGAAGTTGTAAAGAAAACCTTTGTTCAAAGACATTTGGGCATTTTAAGCTCTACAGTTCAGTGAAATCTTAAAAAACCCACAATAACAGTGATTCAGTGAGGGTTTCTTTGGAGGTAAAGAATATATCAAATCAAACACTATTCAAGTTTTAATTTTGTGAATAACTTAAGACAAATATACCCATGATGACGGATTAACCTATCTGAAGTGATTTACACAGGCTAATATACATAGTGTACTTTATTTACAGCCACATGAAATTCCTCTCACTATCCAAGAATTATTATATTCAGTCCTTTTTTGCATTCTCTTTAAGGGAAGAACAGTGGTGAAATCTTGCAGCAAGAAACGAAGAAAACTGATTTAGTGCACCAATATCCTCAAGCTTATCAGGAAAAGAATAAAAAAGTTTAATGACATAAAGCTTTGTTTTTACTCGCAAATCAAACATACCAGATAGTTCTCATCTTGAAAGGCATAGTGCAATGTAGTAATCCATTGACAGTCTCCATTCACCAAAACATTTCTCTCTTCTCGGAAACAAGCTGTCTAAAAGAAAGGAAAAAAGGCATCATTAGAATCCATCAGTCTCTGCAGGATGCATATATATGCATGTTTTATAGGATTATTTAAAATTTCTGAACAGAGGTCTCTATTCATTGGAATTTAGTCTGCACGAGTGGCAAGGCAGTGAATCTCTGCAGGCTTCTGTGGTTAGGCATCCAGTCATTTTAATCCTGGCCAATGTCATTTTTAAAGCAAATTAACTTGAGTCACTGAACTCTTCTGTTCCCCAATGTACTTTGAAAAAAATATGCTTATATCCCATTGTAATCTGCAGCAAAAATACAATGGCGGGAGAGTTGAGCTTATCCTTCTTGCATAGGACCTGTGTGAGAAAAGTAGCTATACAACAGCAACTTACCATGCTAGTTTCTCATAATGCCTTCAAGAGAACCTCCTGATATAAAATAGCACAGGGAAGCAGTGAAAACCTGCTGTTCCCCACAATGTCCGGTACATTTCTAAAAATTAAAATTAATTTAAGATTTTATTTTTACTAGCTATCTTGGATCAAAACATCAATTACAATTGTGTCCTTGTGATTCTTCCACTAATATTAGGTTTAGATTGCAATTATGGCTATGCTATTACATTTGTATTATGTTTCGCATTCTCAGATTTTATTTTAAAAAAATCCGGGAATTTTTCAGGGTTCATCTTCAAAACATAGAAACTGGGATAAAATCCTGATAAAAAGGAAGAAAAGGACAAAAATCATTTTAAAAATCAGGGGTGGGGGGGAAAATCGACAGTGAGGGAGGAGGGAGCAAGGCTGTGACTATGGAAGGGGCAGGGGGAGAGACACAGCGCAGCCTGTTGGCCACTCCCAGGGCTGCAGCAGGGAGCAAAGCAGGGGAGCTGTCAGTGGGTGCAGGGTGCCAGGGCACAGCTCTTGCTGCTACATGCCCCCTGTGAGGGCTGGGAGCCTGTGCCAGCCTCTGTTGGGGGGTGTGGGCCCCCAGATCAGTGGCAGAAAGCACATGGCACTGTGCCCTGCCTTTTTTCCCTGGCTGTGTATCTGCCCTTGCACCCTGCTGGAGCAGCCTGCTGCCAGGCTGCCCTGGCATTTGCCTGCACCCACAGATAGCAGCTCCAGCCCCACGGGCCTGCGTGAAGCAGCTGGGTGCAGTGCCTGCTGCAGGGAGTGGGGCCAGGCTCTCCCGCCTTCTGCCCACCCCCACAACAGGGCTTGCAGCTCCCAGCGCCTGGGGCAGGGCCAAAGCTGCTGGAGTGCAGCTTGGACCCACCTGCCCCGAGAGTGATCCCCACGGCCTGTCCCGCCCACCTGGACAGCAGCTCCAGACCCCTGTGTGCCAAACCCCACTGCTCTCCATGTGGCTGCCACCACCACCCCCCATGACGTCTGGCCAGAAACCTATACCTCAGGTAACCAGGACAGTGGCACTTTTAGTTTACAAGCACCACCCATTTTTTCAATTCAAATCCCTGTTAACTGGGACCATTCCCCACTCATGATGGTTAAACAGGGATTTGAACTGAAAAACAGGCCTAAATCAGTAAAAACTGAGTGACTTAAAAAAAAAAAAAAAATCAGAGAATTTATCAGTGAAAAAAAATAATTGGTAAAAACTGAGAATGCGGAACACTACTTATGTATTTCCTTTATTTGCCTGGCACATCATGAAATGCTTGGTCTCCAGAGAAGACAGTTACTCTTGGTGAGGATTTATCTGTCCAAGACGACGCGCACATCTCAGCACACCTCAATCTTACACTTTACCACTGTCAGTTTAGGACTTTGTACTAGCAAGTCTTAACTTGTGATTCCCAATAGAATGAACGCGCTGTAGCCAAATCAGCATGCCAAATAGCTATTTATGCTACAGGAAGTCAATATGTCTTAGCATTAATAACCACTTATTTTTAAGCGTTTATTGGCATTTCTACATGTGCTGTGAATCAGAATGTTATTTATGCAACTACTACTCCTTTTAACACTTACTGAATGAGACAATGGACTAGTTATGCAGAAGTCACTCTGCATCACAGTGATTCTGTCTGGTTTTAAGATCTGTAAATACATGGCTATTGTCTCAGCTTCCACAATTAGTTACATCCATATCTTAATATGCACATAAGAAACCTCTCTAGTAACTGTGATAAATAAGCCCACTTACTTGAAATAAGATGAGGACAATGTGAACAGTCCTAAATCTGTCCCTAATGAACAACGGTGAAAGTTGTTATACCGCATCTATATAAGTGGCATGACTAATTTTGACTGGAAACCCATTTACAGGTATTAGTTGGCGGTTGATAAATTAAGCTCCACAGTGGTTTGTTCATTTTATGCTGCCTTGCCCCTCTTACAATTAATATAAGAACATATACTACTCTAATGCACTACTGTTATGCCTAATGAATTATACCATATTTCTTGTTGCAAAACAGTGAGCATTGACCAGCCCAACATATTCACTTGAACCTCCTGATAAATCGGATAAAGTGCCCAACATCTGTTTTTCAGGAGAGAGTAAACCAGTTAAGAGGCTGGCTGGGTGCTCAAAGCTTTTATTTTAAAAGCAAAGAGCTTCCAACACATGAAAATAAAAGCCTGATAGATGTTTCATAGACCAGACAGAGATTTTTGGGGAAACTGGATCAGGCAAATGGGCTAAAAGAGGAAAATTTTAAGTGAAAAAATACCCTATTGTCCTCATTGCTGCATTTCTTAAGGAGAAGGGGACCAAAAAAAAAAATCACTAAGAGAATGTGACTGGAATGACAGCACTTTGCCCTGGAGAGGAATATGGAGCAGAAAGAATTAGGGACGGGGGAGAAGAGCAGAGAAAATAGTGATGCAGGTATTTTTCCTGAGCTAAGTCCTATAGTTACTATGCAAGTGTTAACCTAGTATAGACTGGTTCCCTCAACCCTATATGGTTACATGAGTTGTGTTTAACTTTACATATCTATAATATAGGTTACCATAACTTCAGTCTAGAGAAAAGACAACTGAGGGGGGATTTGATAACAGTCTTCAAATACCTGAGGGGCAATTGTAAAGAAGATGGAGAGGGGCTTTTTTCTGTACCCATAGGGTAGAGACTAGGAGCAACTGACTCAAGCTGCAGCAGAGGCAAGTTACGTTGGAGATTAGGAGGAACTTGCCGATTCTGAGGGTGATCAAGTATTGGAACAGGCTGCCTACAGAAACTGCAAAATTTCCATTCTTGGAATTTTTCAAGAGCAGGTTAGAAAGACACTTGGCTGGGATAGTTTAGTCAGAGATGGTCCTGCCTTGAGCAGGGGGCTGGACTAGATGACCTCATGAGATCCCTTCCAGCCCTACTTTCCCAGGGTCTTGTGATTTAAGATTTTGCCATTCCAGACATACGTGTCACGAGTACCCTTTTGGATAGTCCCTTTCAGAATGATTTTAAACTGCTTCAATTTCAGTTTGTACACTGCCCATTATAATTTTTGGAAACACATGACTACCCTCTAAAAAAAAAAAAAAAAGTAAGCCTCTCAGGTGATCAGTTTTACCTTGCCAGGTTCACTTCAATTTATTCCAGACCCTAAAAGTCTGGCGTTCCCAACATTTTTAGGCACCATCTCTGCCAATTAGACAAATGCAGCACAAAACAGACCACTTCCCAAATACTTGCTTTTCAAATGTAAGAAAAAGTCCTTCATTTTCAATTTTTTTAACATGTGGTTCTGAATGTCATAGCAACAGAAATCTGATGCTTCCACCTAGTCTTTAACTCGTCTTTACTGTAAACAAAAATCTGGCCAATAAATTCCGGGTAAAAACTAGGGCAGACTGTCTGGTGAACAAATACACAGCGAGGCTGAGAACAACAGATGCCTGAAAGGGACTGTCAGAGTTGATTGCATTAAAGCAGGGTTGGGTTTTTTAAATTTTTTTTAAATGAAGCTCCTATCCTCATGAAATAATTCTTTTTAAATCTGGAAGTGTTTCAATGTAATTTCCCCTGATGCTGTTTATAAAAATTCTTTGTTTTAGGGGAAAACTCCTCCCCCCCCCACAAACCCACAGTACTTACCTCTGCTCTTTTAAGCATTTCCCATTTATTGAGAATTTTCATGGCATAAATGCGCTCTGTGCACTTCATTTTAACAACTGCAACCTGTAATAATAAATTAAATGTGTTTAACCAAAGAAAGAATATTACTAGTTATTCAAATGCACGATAAATGAAAGCATGATTTTTAAGGAGTAAATAGTCAATAATGTTAACTGAGCTTATCACTTACCGCTCAATGTCTTTGCTTTATTTTCCCCCTCATTACTACATGATACATAGTACCCCCATGCGTGGTCAACTCTTCACAATCAAATAGATGGGGGATGGTACAAGCGAAATATGAAGCCTTTCATATGAAGATGTGCAGTAAAGCTACATTGTTTGCCAGGAACAAGCAATGTTTGTATATCATGCCCTCAGCCACCACAAGAACATTTAAAAGGGCAGCCACAGAAAACAAGAAAAGCTGCTATCCAAAGTAAAAACAGTCTCCAGACACAAATATGCTGCTATAGCCAGAAACCTCAAAAGATAGATATCTGCATGTGATAAACCTTACAATGCTGCACACTGCTCTATAAAAACTGAAACAGCTATCGTAAACTTGCTTACTATTTTAATTGCAGAATTGTACCCTGTATGCTATTATCAAAGACTCATTCATAATACTCCATCTTGGACCTGTCACTAGTACAGAAAAATCACATGCTAAGTTGTCTTTAAAGTGAAGGAATATAATAATGTTTCAGAAATACAAAGGCTATGTTGGAGGCAAGATTTCTCAAAAAAATTCAATTTCCCTCAGGCCAACAGGAATTCTTCCTAGGAAGAGACTTTCACCTCCAACAAAATTCAAGTGTTAATTTTGGGGGAAAAGTTCCCATTTTGCTCTCAACCCTAATGTCTACTACAGGCAACCTTCTCTTCTTAAGTCTGCAGATGAACTGTGTGGGTCACGCTGCTGCTGCTCGCAGGTTTCATGGGTTTGAGACACATAAAGGTGAACCACGATTGTCAGTTTTCACCACTGCCAACAGAGATCTTAACAGGAACACTAGAAACTTAGGAGGAAAATCTGGTTTGCTTAATAAAATGTTATGAGCAGGAACGGCAATTAGGCACAGAGGTTCTCTCAGAAAAAACCCGACTAGAAGATGAGGCTGGGCTAGTATAAGAGGACAACACTTTTCATCACAAAACACAGAAAACTGAGGAAGGGAGAGTTGCAGACAAGCCCACCCTTCACAACCAGGAAGCTGCAGGCAGAGGGAGAAGAGAAGCTTACACCTCCCATGGAGAACATCTGTCCAAACTTTCTTGGACACCTTCTTTAAGAAAGCAGACAAGACTCCAGAAAAACCTGCAGTCAAGACTCCTGAGAAGACTCCAGCCAAGAACCCTTCAAAAAGTCTAACCAAGAGCCTTTCAAAAAGTCCAGCAAAGTCACCTCAAAGAAGTCCTTCCAAAACAATGAATGCTATTTACAATATAAATATATTAATGTAGCTATATTACTCGTCTATAATTGATCGAGTACAAAATTCTGGGGTATTTTTGGTGAAAACAGGGTATCAGGCCTTAGTTCAGGAACCAATCCCCTATTTACAACATTGTTTCTTATGAGAAAATTGGTTCCAAGTTACAATGTTTTGACTTAAGACGTGGTTTTCAGGAACCAACTGTGCCATAAGTCCGAAGACTGCCTGTACAGTAGATGGTCCAATCCATTTTTTTTTAAATCTGCTCGTCGGGGCAAGGCCTCAAGCTAACAACTGTTTTAAGCATTGGTTTTAGATGCAGACAAGCTCATTTCATTCAGCAGTATATGAGTGAAATGAGTCCAACTCAACCTGTCATTGGTCGAGTACCTCACCTGGACAACATTCACACTAGAAATTAGGTGATATTGAAAGTGTTTATTAGCAAATATATATATTTTAACACCTTTAAAAATATTTTAGCTGGTAACTGGCAACCATAATGGACAACCCCATATCTTACCAGGGTCGGCTTACCCACTTAAGGGTATTAAGCCGTGTTTTCACTAGCAAAGGAAAGGAAGTTAGGACAAAAAGAATAGTTAAAACAGTTTAACTAATCTTGTGTTCCTGGAACTAAACCTCATTTTCACACTCTCTCCTAGTACATGAATAGGACTCTCTTTAGAAAATTGTTTAATTGAATCGAATCAATTTGCTGGATAGGCTTGAAGGGACAACATGGATTAAACTATAAAGGAAAAAGCTTTGCAAAGCTGAAAGAGAGGGGAAACTGCCCATCCTTATATTTTTAATTCCTTTCACACTAAACATTCTTGAGGAAAAGGTAAGATCCAGTCTGAAAGTGACTACCTATTGCTGGAGAACTATAACCCTAGGACAAAATTTAGTTTTTCAAAGCCATGCAGAAGTAGTAACATGCGAGTCTCCAAATATAAGCCTTTCATTCTTAAAACTTGGACCAAATATCAAACATCTACTGGGTCACAACTTGTGCCAAATGCAGATCCAAATATGGATAGGTTTGGACTAGACTTTATCTGAAGGCCTTGCACCTTTTAAACTCCTCTCAAAACTAATTGTGCAAGGTACTGTGGCAGATTTGTAAGGTTGCAGTGGTTAAAAAAAAAAAAAAAAGTTCAAGTCTGCTCCAAAAATGTGAAAAAGGGCAAGAGGGAAAGCAATGTTACAATTCAGTCTGCTGTTCAGAACAGGGAAAGAAGTCTGAAGGCAATGCAGTTTAAAGATAATGAGTCCCTCACCCCTCTCAAACTCATGCTATGGTCCTATTACACACTGAAGCCACAAGGAATTTATTCAGCTCAGAATGCATGAGGAGGAAAAAAAGTGGAAACCACCGTATAATTTCATGATAAACTCTGTGCTATTCATCTAAGAAAAACGTAGCTTCATCTGGTGCACTACTGACACTACTGAGGCCATGACAGGAACACTAACTAACTCCTCCATTCCTTTTCTTATGCAATAGACCAATAAAAATGATCAGGCTTATGCCCCTCATCAAGGATTCTACTTTTCTCCGATTTAAAAAAATCCCCAATTTTCAGATTAAAATAAAGTAACCCAAATCCACATTTTTCCATGATTAAAATTAAACACCACTATATATGCGTGTGTGCGTGGGCATGTGCCTCATTTTAAATCATAGGAAAATGTGGATTTGGGTTACTTTTTTAAACCCAAAAATTAGGGATTTTTTTAAATCAGAGAAACCAGGATCCCTGCTCATTATTTAGGAGTTCTATCCATTCCCCACCCCTGCTGCATTGTTGGTACCCATCTCTTATAATTAACCAGGGTTTCAAACATTTTAACAGCTGTTGCCACCAATAAAAACAATACTATTAACCTATTTTAGGGTTCTGTTAAGCTTCTTTAAGCTCTAAATGAATACTGCTGTAGTTTGCTCCTCTCTCTCCTGCATGTCTAAAAATCCCATTCAAAGCTAACTGTACGTAAAAACACACTAGCCATTTTGATAGAAAAGGGAACAGAGACCGATTCCACTATACCATGGGAGTCAAAAACTCATTTAGCTATGGGGGACCAGTCTGCCGGCTGGACTAGAACTAACCCACTGCAGCATGCCTGCAGCACTGGGTCCTACCTACATGCTGCATGTGCTAGTCCCCAAGATCTGCACGGGGTGTGTGCTGCCTACGGCAAGTGAGCTAGACTTAGTGCCGCAAGCAATAATGGGGGGCACTATGGAGTGCCACATGCAACTGGTACCCCAGACTCCCTGTGCTGCAAGCAATACTGGGTCCAGTCTGTACACTGCAGGCAGCCCCAAGGGTTGGCTGGTCCTGCATGTGGTGTGTGGGACTGAACCACCAACGCATACTACACACAGCATAGAGGGCTAGCATGGGGCATGCACTCCATGCAGAGCCCTGCTAACTGATCCTGTGCACTGGCTCCAGGTCTGGTGGGGTTCTGCAAGGAGTGCGCACCCTGTGCTGGGCCTGTGTTACATGTTGCACAAGTTGGCCCATGGACCCAGCAGTGCATGCGACCCAGAGGGCCCAGGGAGCATGTGGCATGCAGTGTCCCACACCAACCCCCTGTGCTGTCTGCAGGGCACACTGCATACAGCGTGCACTGGGCCAGTCCGGTGACACATGGACTGGATCACACACCTTCATGGGCTGGATCTGGACCACAGGCCACGTTTCACACTTCTGTGCTGTAATGTAACTGACAAACATTATTTTTAGTTGGAAATGGTAACCTTGTGGCTATGCCAAACGAGAAAGCCGATATTTTTAACAGTTTCTTTGCTTCTGTTTTCTTGAACAGGGACGGGACATCCCTCCTACCAGAGGTAGGGACAATCTCGGGAATTGCTCTGTCAGGCCTTCAGTCAGCGCAGATGTAGTTAAGGATCTTCTGGAAGGGCTGGACATTTTTAAATCTGCAGGTCCAGATGCCCTCCACCCAAGGGTGTTGAGGGAGCTGGCAGGGGTCATCACGGAGCCCTTGGCCCGGCTGTATAAGCATCTGTGGTCATCTGGCCAGGTGCCAGGGGATTGGAAATTAGCTGATGTGGTCCCCATTTTTAAGAAAGGGAGGAAGGAGGACCCAAGTAACTATAGGTCTGTAAACTTCACCTTGGTCCTCGGGAAGATCTTGGAGAAAATCATCAAGGAACACATCTGTGGGGGGCCAGCAGGGGAGATCATGCTCAGGGGCAACCAGCATGGGTTCATCAAAGGCAGGTCCTGCCTGACCAACC